CCACCACCAAAAATAAATAAATAAAATAAAATAAAAATGTGGGCTGGATTGAAGTAAACCACTGCCTGTTGAAAAGCCCTGCTCTAGATCTCCATCGTGTAACTCTTCAACCTAATTCCCCTGTAGTTGCCACAACTCCGTGCATCATCCTTGTTCTTAAAAATTGACACCAGTGCACGTCTTCTCCGCTCCTCTGACATTTTCTCACCCTAAAATATACCATTTAATATTTGAGTCAAAAAACTTCACTGCCATCTCTCTTAGACATGTCCATACCTCCACTAGTACGTCAATAGGTCCTACTGCCTTCCCCTTCCTTCTTCATTCTTTTTAGAGCATTCTGAACTTCACCCTCACTAATCTTTCCCACTTCCTGGTCCACAGCTTTTATGACCTCTGCTCTTCTTTCTCTTTCATTCTCTTCATTCATTAGCACTTTAAAATACTCCTTCCATATTTTTGTCACAATTTCCTCACTTGTTAGAACATTACCATTCATATCTTTAACAAACCTAACCTGCTGCACATCCTTTCCAGCCTGATCCCTCTGTCTTGTCAATCTGTACAAGTTCTTCTCACCCTCTTTAATACACAGCCTCCCATACAACTCATCAAATGTCTTCTGCTTTGCGCTAGCTACTTCCCTCTTTGCGTTACGTTTCATCTCCTTATATTCCTGTCTACATAAACTCTCTTCAGTCCTCTCACTGTCATATTCCTTCTTGGCTAATCTCAGATAACAATCGTTCTTGTTCTTTCTTTGAATAGCTTCCTGCACTTCACTATTCCACCACCAGGTTTCCATCCATCCATCCATCCATTTTCTTTACCCGTTTATTCCATTTTGGGTCACGGGGGTCGCTGGTGCCCATGTCCAGCAATCACTGTGCAAGGGGCGGGGGACACCCTGGACGGGTCGCAAGTCCATCACAGGGCCACATAGAGACAAACGAGACAAACAACCATTCACTCTCTCACTCACACCTAGGGACAATTTAGAGTTACCAATCAGCCTAACATGCATGTTTTTGGTCTGTGGGAGGAAACCGGAGTACCCGGAGAAAACCCACGCATGCACGGAGAGAACATGCAAACTCCACCCAGAAGGCACCTGGACCTGGGTTTGAACCAGGGACCTGTTCGCTGAGAGGCAGCAGCTCTACCAGTTGCGCCACCGTGCTGCCCACCACCAGGTTTCCTTATAATCTATTCTCTGTCCAGATGACAAACTACAGTAAGTACCGTCCTACCTGTCTCTCTAATTACTGTTGATCTATTAGTCCAGTCATTTGGAAGCTCTTTCTTACCACCCAGAGCCTTTAACAGTTCCTCTCTGAACTCCTCACAACATTCTTCCATCCTCAGTTTCCACCATTTGGTCTTCTCTGATTTGACTATTTTTTCTCTTCTTTACAACAGCAGTCATTCTACACACAACCATCCGATGCTGCATGGCCACGCTCTTCCATCATAATTTTACAGTCCCCATAGCCCTCAGGTTTCCTCTTCTACATATTGTAGAATAGTTACCTGCATACTCCTTCCTCTACTCTTATAGGTGGCTCTATAATCGTCTGGTTTCTTTCCTTGACACCAAACCTACACATCATTTCCTCATCCCTTCGGTTCCTTCACCAAGATCCTTCCAGATCTGCTATGATCACCACTCTCTCCTCTCTGGGAATACTCTCTATCACTTCACCCAGATCCTTCCAAAATGTATCTTTCTCCTCTATGTCACATCCAGCCTGTGGAACATAACCACTGACAGCATTTAGTATCAAACCTTCTACTTCTACCTTCAGACACATCACCCTATTTGACATTCTTTTCACCTCTACTACATTCTTTGCCAACTCCGCCTTCAGGACCAACCCTATTCCAATTTTCTTTCTATCCACACCATGGTAAGAGTTTAAAGTTTAACCCCTTCTCCAATGCTGCAAACCTTGCTGCCCTTCCACTTGGTCTCTTACGACACAAAGCATCTACCTTCCTTCTCTGCATCATGTCAGCCAGCTCTCTACTTTTGCATGTCATTGTCCCCACATTTAGAGTTGCAACCCTCAGTCCTACATTCTTAACTTTCCTCTTCTCCCTCTGTCTCCTGACACGTTTCCCTCTTTTGTTGACTTTAACTAACAGTAGTACATTTTCCGCTGACACTCTGTCACCAGCACTGGTGGTAGTCATTGTTAACTCGGGCCTTGACTGATCCAATATGGTATCACTCAGATGAACTCATATGTCAGATTTGCAAAAGTTTTTTTTTATGTCGGATGCCCTTCCTGACACACTGCTCGCCATTTACCTGGGATTTTGACTGACGCAAGAGATGCACTGGCTTGTACTCATCCATCCATCCTTCCCATGAACCTTTTTCCAGTCTGAGACACTCATTAAGCTATTGAGAAGTCACTCTTAATACATTTGTGACCTCACATACTAAGCATCTTCTTTCACTTGCCCACTTTCGAGTGCGTTGAGACCTTGGCCTTGACACCAGAGTTCATGCTCATTAATCCAGGTACAAATCCAGCAATGTTCAGTCAGGTCATCTGGACAGTTTCTTATTTATTTATTTATTTTTGCTGAGACGTTTCATCCTTCAGCCAAAGGACTTCATTAGTCCGAGGAGCCAAAACAAACTGGAGTCCCACAACCACCACACTTGCATAGTGGAAAAAAAACAAAAACAACAAAAAAAAAAAACAGTTTGCTGGCGATAAGATGGTTTTGGGAGCCCGCCTAGGAATTGTTGGATTTGTACCTGGATTATTGAACTTTGGTGTTTTGAACCATTTTGGCATGACTGCCTTAGAGGAGTTGACAGGGGAGAGGGCAGGCTCCAGAAACTATCTTATCACCAGCAAATTGTTTATTTCCACTATGGGAGTGTGGTGCTTGTGGGACTCCAGTTTGTTTGTGGCGCCTTGGACTGAAGAAGTCCTGTGGATGAAGGACAAAACACCTCAGCAAAAACAACAACAACAAAAAAGAAAT